AACTCGCATTTTCAAAAAAAAAAAAAAAGAAGAAATCTCTGATTTTTCTTCTCGAAATTCCCCCTCAAATTCATCGAATTCTCTGAAATCCACGCAGCAGTTTTGCACCGCTGCCTGATTCCTCGGGTGTGTAGTTCCCGGTGCTTAGCGTCCGCTCTTATCAGCTTTCCCAACTTCTCTTTCTTCCTTCTTCCAACCTACACTTTCGGTCCTTTCATCATGGCGGACTACGACAACGATTCCAGCCGTTACGCGGGTATGTCTTTCGTAATTATTTCGGCGCGCTTGAAAATATTTACCCTTTTTCGATAGACGAGCCCCGATATGATCGCGAGCGCAGCGCCTCTCCTCGCGATGAGCCTCGAGCCGACCGCGACCGTGCTCGCAGCCGCTCCCCCAATGGCCGCTCTGAGGACAGGTATGTATTTGTCTGATCTGGTATGTCAATTCCAAAGCTAATAAACTCACAGAGCTCCTCTGGCCCGCAAGCCTATCGAGGAAGAGGACGAAGGTGCCGTTAACACTGGCTCTAACCTCTTCGTTACTGGTATTCACCCGCGCCTGACCGAGTCTGATATTTCGCGTCTGTTCGAAAAGTACGGCGATGTCGATAATTGCTCTATCATGCTTGACCCCCACACCAAGGAGTCCCGTGGATTCGGTTTCGTGAACATGGTCACCGCCGAGCAGGCTGATGCCGCCAAGGAGGGTCTCCAGGGTGAGGTCATTGAAGGTCGCACCCTCAGCATCGAGAAGGCTCGTCGTGCCCGTCCTCGTACCCCTACCCCCGGAAAGTACTTCGGTCCTCCCAAGCGTGGTAAGTTACATCATCCCTTCCCCTTGCGTCTTCGCATCGGCTTACATTCCCCTTCTTCAGATGGCCCTGGTGGTCCTCCTGGTGGTGGTCGTGGTGGTCCCCGCCGTGACCGTTACGATGATCGCCGCGGCCCCTCCGGTGGCGGCTGGCGTCGTCGCGACGATGACTACTCCCGCTATGGTCGCTACGACTCTTACAATGATCGCCGGGATTATGGCCGTGATTACGGT